AGGCAGACAGAATCCCAAAAGCTCCTTTTCCAGCACTGGGGCCTGTCTCTTTAAGGCAGCAGCAGCTCTACTTCTGCAAGCTTGGCCTCCACAGGTTACACAGGATGAGAGGAAAGCAGTGACTGGCACCTGGGCATTGGAAGAATCTGCCAGATCCTGGCCTACACGCATGCCTAAAGCCTGCAGATTGAAAGTAGGACAGCTGTCTGCTGGCTGAAACAGAAAACCAACCAACATACACCAAGTGGGCCAGGCTAGAGACCCTAATAGATCATGGATGATGGGCCAGTGGACATCCATCCTGATCAGACAGAAGCCTAGAGGTTGTTCCTACAGTGGTTGGTCACTGCAGGGCTGGCCATGAAAAGGGAGTCTTGAACAACTCCCTCGGCACCACTGATAAAGCATGTTCCAACGAGTGGGGACTCCATAAGCGAATCAGAGGATAGGCGTGATTATTTCCTAGACAAAGCAACTGAAACAAGAGGAAAACCTCAAATGCACAAGATTCATCCGAAAGCAGGACTGCCAGCAGACACAGACCAAGGGGTTGAGTTAGCAGTATCTAATTAGAGGCAAGAGCAAGCAAAACTACCATGGATTTCTCTCCCCAGCTGCCTACTAGACATCAAACTGAAACCCCCAGTAAGGGCCATGGCTGGCTGAGCTGCCTATGTGGGAGAAAGCCAGGTACTCTATGGTAGCCTGCCTGGCCTGCACTTGCTATGCAGACTCATTCCCTGTTGGGACAAACACGTGTGCCACCACTACACTTAGCTGTCTGTGTAGGTCTCCCCCTGGGCAGGTGCATGTACTAACTGTCTCACACACAGTCCCTGGGAACCGCTCCTTCCTGAGGCCATGAGGCCAACATTCCCAGGCTGCCCCACTGTTGTACAGAAGGTCCTCAGGAGCTCCTTGGAGACTCAGGGGTGAGCAGTGGCATCTCTGGTCAGCGGCCAGGAAGACAATAGTGAGGGCCATGCTCCTGCGCTGGGTCTGAGCCCCTCCTCATCAGGTTGAGCAGAGGGGCCTTCACGGGGGCCACCCCTGTACTTGTACCTCTGAACTGCTCAGCACATAGGCAAAGGCTCTTGGATGCAGTGGTCAATATAAGACCCTGCGGCTACTCAGCCAGTTCGGCTGCTGCTGGACACAGTGCCCTTGACAGGCAAGGGCATGAGCTTTTCTGCCCTGTTTAGTCTCTGCAGATCTAATTAGACACACACATACACAAAATCCTGTAATGATTTGCTTCAGCTAAGCTAAATTTGCTCTCTTCTAAAACTCCAAATAAAACGTCAAAGCTGGCAGCCTTAGGGGCTGGAGAGATGGCTTAGTGGTTAAGAGCACTGACTGCTCTTCAAGAGTCCCTGAGTTCAATTCCCAGCAACCACATGGTGGCTCACAGCCATCTATAATGTAGACCTGGCGTCCCCTTCTGGCATGCAGGCACACATGGAAGGAATGATGTACACATAATAAATAAATAAATCTTAAAAAAAAAAGAAGAAGAAGACGGTGAAGAAGAAAAAAAAAAAAAGCTGGCAGCCTTAGGATCCGCCTAAGGGTTAACTCTGTTAGTGCTGCAGTCTCTCCTGAGAGCCCCTCAGCGAGGCTTCTCAGCTTGTCCTAGTCCAAACACCGCAAGTGGAAAGAGTCCTAGCATGGTCTTCCCACTCAGACAGAAGCACTGTTTGCCTTCTGAACTTCTACTTCCTGTCCTGTGATCAAACAGGACTATTTGCAAATAGAATCCCAGCACTTGGGAGGCAGAGGCAGGCAGATCTCTCTGAGTTCAAGGCCAGCCTGGTCCACAGAGTGAGTTCCAGGACAGGCTCAAAAGTGATACAGAGAAATTCTGTCTCATAAAACATAAAGAAAAAGGAAGAAAGGAAGGAAGGAAGGAAGGAAGGAAGGAAGGAAGGAAGGAAGGAAATACTGATGGCATGAGACTGTTTTCAGAGTAGGGGCTCGGGGAATGCAAGCTCACTTTGATGCCAGTTGCTGTGTTTAGGTGGTAGTGTTTCAGCCAATTTCAAGAAAAATCACACTTCCTACAGTTAAAAAGGAAGCCATCTGAGTTGTTGACCATGAGTCTCCCCCACCCACCTTGTACATTCAAGGATCTGTGTGTAGAGGGGATTTTGAGTCCATGCTTACTGAGTTGCTAACAAGGCCAGTCCTCAAAGGATTTGAGTTCTAGCTTAGAACCCAGCACTTCACAAAAACTCAGAGATCAGCTGCTGGGGCCAGGACATTTACCAAAGCTGTCATCAAGTATGCTGGGCTGGACCAGGAGCAGATGGTGAGGGGGCTCTTTACCTCCTTCTGGTTTGTTCCCACCAGTCATGTGACTCTGACCACAAACCAGCAGTCAAGGTCTGTTCCTGCGTTCCTAGGTTCCACACAAGCCCAGCCACCTGAGCCAAATGATGGCTAATGGGTTCTTTTTGTTAATACATTTTTAAAATGCTATGTGTATGAGAGTTTTAATTTCATGTATATAGCAGGATGGGTATAAAGGGTAGGAAGGTCAGAGGATGCCACTGGGAGCCACTGTAGTGGCTGTCCTCAGAGTGATGTTTGCCAAAGCTCGTGGACCCTGTACTAGGATATAGCACTCTACTGGGGCTGAATTTTGTCCCAATTAAAACAAAAGTCCAAAGCCCACAGAAAATGTTAACAGTCATTTGATTCTGAGAAACTGATGCTAAGGATGCATCGGGCCCGTGGGGTCGAGGAAGCTTCAGAAAACATGGTGGTCACAAGGTCACGCCACCCTCCATGGCTGACAGGAGGCAGGGCACTGCAACAGCAGATGGAAACTGTGCTCAGGCTAAATGAGACATGTCTTACTACATAAAGATAGCCTGAATGTGGAAACATATATGAATAGCATGCATTCAAAAATGGTTGATATATATAAAAATGTTTTCCCTGCTGAATACGCCAATCTTACCCAAAATGTTTTGACAGTGTCTGCCACCTTCGTTTGCATTATTTTCCAGATCTCCCTTCTCAGAACAGTGGGGCAGTGAGTTTTGTGGGCAGCAGAGGAATCATGCTATCCCTGGACCGGGGAGGATGATGGATACAGCGATAGGTCTGAGCTCACCTCTTTTCGCTCTGCATCAACCTGCATTCTCGCCTGCGTCACAGCAGCCTCCCTGCATGAGCTTGCCTGCTTGGCTTGTTCAAACAGCGTCTTCAGCTGCTGGGCTGTGCTGAGCAAGGAGTTGACCATCTCTTCCAGGTACAGCCAGCTCCGCTGTTCTGACATCTCCAGCCCGCTGACCACGGTGGGAGAGACAGCTTTGGTGGGGGTGGAGGGTGGCACAGCCAAGGCAGGCAGGGACGTCAGGACTAGAATGTGGAAGGGGGACAAACCAAAGATTAGTGACTCCCAAGCCCAACACACTCAGGTGTGAGGAGACACACTGGTGGTGAACTGGGGAAGGAAAGGGTGAAAAGGTTCGTGCTCCTTGTTCACGTTCCCACATGTCTAATGTTGGCAGCCAAAAACCTTTCCCAAGGGCTGAGTACTTCCAACATGAGACCTAGAGTAGAAGCTCAGACAAGAGGTAAGTGACAAGCAAGACACCCAGAGACGGGGTAGCCATGAAACATGAAAGGAACCAGCCATAGGACAAGCACACCAAGGACAGGGAATGGAGACCCAACCTGTACCTCAGATGGGAAAACCAAGGCTCACCTGGAAAGCTCTCAAGGCCTGCAGTCAATACGGGGGTTATTAAGAACAGTGGGAGTCAGGATTCTCACAACTGGAGAAGAAAGACACCAACACAGACAGAAGGGACCAGAATACACTGTGACTTTATACTCAGTAGACACTGTGAACTCCCCCTGCAGGAAGGTCTACAATAGATGTGTGTGTGTGTGTAGATGCAAAAGCCTACTGAGTAGACTGGCGTGACACATCCTAACAGCCATGAACACCCAACATGGCAGGGCTTCTGTGGGATGCTGTTTCTACTGCACAAAGCCTCTTCCCAATGCTCACCGTGAACTGGATAAGGCACACAGTCACCACAAAGTCAGCACTCAACAATTTCAGGCCACTATGACTTAGGCCAGATACACCTCACAGCATGCAGAGGGGAATCCCACATCACCACTGGCTTCTGAAATGTGAGGGGAATGCACAACTTGTGATGATGGCTGATAAGATTGCTTGGTGAGTAAGGCCCTTGCACATAAGCACAACGACCTGAGTTCAAATCCCAGGAACTCTGGAAAAGCTAGATGTGATAGTGCATGTCTGCAATCCCAGCATGCCTATGGGGAGATGTGAGGTTAAGGCAGGAGATTCCGCTCTGAAATGCAAGGTAGCCTGGCACAGGCAACGGAGAAACAAGAGACTTTGTGTCAAATAAGGTAGAGGGTGAGGACCGACACCCAAGGCTGGTTTCCGACCTCCAATGCACCAAGGAATCATATGTCCACACTTCCATACAAATATGTGTAAAAACACACATGACAGGTGTGGTGGTGCAGCCTTTAACTCTAGCACTCAAAAGAGGCAAGAGGCAAGTAGATCTCTATGAGTTCAAAGCTAGCAAGTTCTAGACCATGCCAGTCAGAGCTATCCAGACTCTATCTCAAAACAACAACAACAAAAAGGGACATCTCCCAAATAAACACACACACACACACACACACACACACACACACACACACGGGGAAAAAAGAAAGAAAGAAAGAAAAAGAGAGAAATGAAAAAGAAAACTCTCAAGTGTCCGGCTAAGGCCGAGAGTAAGAAAGTACCTTCAGTAAGGGGCAGGTCAACACAGAGGCCACCCATGGGGCTCCTGCTGCCTCCTACAGGGCTCCAAGTCTGAGTGTATGAGCAGAAATCAGAAAAGCAGCAATCATGACCCACAGAGTAAACCAGGAAGCTCTATGTTCAAGCTAGTGTGAAGTGTGATGAGGCATATAGACCTTGTGGACTCAGTCACACGGTGTCAGTCAGGTGTCACGGTTAACCTCGGCAAGAGGAGGACAGGGCTCAGAAGACATAGCAGCCCCTATCCCAGGTCTGCACCATCGCTGACAAAGCCACAACAACGCATGTCCAAGAATCAACATCACAGTACCAGGGTAAGGGATATTCTACATGACTGCTGTTGTTAACCCCCAACAAGATAGGTAAAAGGCCAAAGGCCAAGTGTCAAGGGGACAACGTTCAGAAAGGAAGTCACTGGGGACCACCAGTCACTGACTCATGGGTGGCTAGTAAATGCTTACTTACTTAATTCTTGAGTTTCATATAATCTTTTTTTTTTTTTCCTTTTTGGTTTTTTAAGACAGGGGCTGGGACTAAAGGTATGGGTCACCATGGCCTGGCCATACCCCTCACCCCGTGTGTGTGTGTGTGTGTGTGTGTGTGTGTGTGTGTGTGTGTGTGTAGGAAACAAAACACTGAAGCATGTTGGGTGAAGTCTGCAACTACTCTTAAATGTTTAGGGGATAGGGGGCTGGAGAGATGGCTCAGAGGTTAAGAGCATTGCCTGCTCTTCCAAAGGTCCTGAGTTCAATTCCCAGCAACCACATGGTGGCTCACAACCATCTGTAATGGGGTCTGGTGCCCTCTTCTGGCCTGCAGGCATACACACAGACAGAATATTGTATACATAATAAAATAAATAAATATTAAAAACAAAAACAAAAAAAAATGTTTAGGGGATAAAGTTTTGCATTTATAACTTCTTTTTAAATATTTGATGTCATTCTCAAATTTTTGCTTTGTTTTGCTTGTTTTTCAAGACAGGGTTTTTCTGTATAGCCTTGGCTGTCCTGGAACTTGCTCCGTGGATCAGACTAACCTCAAATTCATAGAAATCTGCCTGGCTCTGCTCCCCCAAGTGCCAGGATTAAAGGCATGTGCCACCACCACCCAGCCAAAAAATTTATTTTAATGTTATAAAATATCAGTCGTCTACTACAAGCTGAGTGCCAAGATGGAGCAAGCAGTAAAGGACACAGTCCACCCAGGGCAGGACAGGGTCCAGTGTGCAGAGGAGACAAGGGAGGAGGCTGAAACCGGCTAGAAGAAGTGGAGTCAGCATGAGTCTAGTTCAGACAGACTAAAGGGAAGATAATGTGAGCCAGGTACACACCCGATGGCATAATCCTTTAATCCCAGCACTCAGGAGGCAGAGGCAGGTGTACATTCGTGAGTTCAAGGCCAGAGCCTACTAGTGCCAGGACAGCCAGGGCTACACAGAGAAACCCTGTCTTTGGGGGGTAGGGGGAAATAATGAAACAAAAAAGTGAGGGGAAGGAATTTTAGCTTAGTTCTCACGCTAGAGAGCATGACAAATATAAAAAACAAATGCTCATCAGAAGGAGGAAGTTCAGGTAGTATTTTACCCATCGTATGTACTTTTAAAAAGTATACTGACACAGAAATTTACCCAAAATGTGCTACTAAGTGAAAACCCAAGGTCAAGCTGCCCACACAGAGAGGGTCATTTCTGCTCTCAGCTATGAGGACACAGATACTGGCAGTCTCTGTGAAGGTTTGAAAGAAAATGGCCCCTATTAGGTGGTGTGGCTTTGCTGGAGTAGGTATGGTCTTGTTGGAGGAAGTTGGTCACTGTGGTGGCGGGCTTTGAGGTCTCATACATGTTTAAGCCATGGCCAGTAAGACAGCTCACTTCCTATTTCCTTTGGATCAAGATGTGAGGACTCCCAGCTCCAGCATCATGCTGCCTTCACGCTGCCATGCTCTCCACCATGACAATAATGGACTAAACTTCTGAACTGTAAGTGAGCCGCCCCAATTAAATGTTTCCCTTGTAGCCGGCAGTGGTGGCATATGCCTTTACTCCCAGCACTCGGAAGGCAGAGGCAGGTGGATATCTTGTGAGTTTGAGGACAGTCTGGTCTACAGAGAGAGTTCCAGGACAGGCTTCAAAGCTACACAGAGAAAGCCTGTCTCAAAAAGAAAAAAAAAAAAGGGTTTCCCTTGTAAGAGTTGTCGTGGTCATGGTGTCTCTTCACAGCAATAGAAGCCCTAAGACAGTCTCTCACACCACACACTTCTTGGTCCAGTTCCATGGTCTGTCAAGGCAAGGAGATGGTCTACTCACACACTTCTGCTGGGGTGGACCTGACATTGGTGTAGGAGGCCATTCTGTCTATGTGTTGTTTTCATTGGTTAATAAAGGCACTGCTTTGGGCCTATAGCAGAGCTGTAGGGGAACAGAGCTAGGCGGAGAAAACTAAAGGAATTCTGGGAGGAAGAAGGCAGAGTTGAGAGGACACGATGGATCCACTGCCGGAGATAGACGTGTTGAAACTTTGCTGATAGGCCATGACCTCGTGGTGATGCACAGATTAATAGAAGTGGGCTAAATTAAGATGTAAGAGTTAGCCAATAAGAAGCTAGAGCTAATGGGCCAAGCAGTGATTTAATTAATATAGTTTCTGTGTGATTATTTCGGGTATATGCTAGCCGGGCTGCGGGAAGAACAAGCGGTCGGTCCCCTCCTCCAACATGACACTAGCAGCATTAGGTCATTTCAGTCTCTATGGAAGCAGCCTGCTATAAACAAAAGCCTTACACGTAATTGATCAGCACAGTTGGGCCCAAAAAAACTTTCTTTACAAACACCTGGACCTTGCCAGACCTAACCCAGCAAGCATTTCAAGAGTAAAAACAAGCACACCAGCACAAGCCCCATGAAGCAATTCTAAGGCTGGGGCATGGGTCAGAGGTAGAGCACTTGCCTAGCATGTGTGAGACGCTGGGTTCCAACCACAGCACTACAAAGAGTAAAAATCAAAAAAAAAAAAAAATTAAGCAAAACCACAATTCTGAGGAAAACAGCTTGCATACACATGGATTCTTTTATACTCACCAATTTTGGGATGTGATGTTGGCAACGCAGCTTCTGGAAACGGCGCGATCTGGCAGCTGTCCTGATAGCCAGGGTAGTGGGGTTCAGGGTGGCCAACCCTGCAGGGGGGCTGCACACCTGCCTCTTGCACTGTTAGTGAGAGAGGTAGACAGCCTCAGCACCTTACTATTGGCACAGCAGATTAAGTTCCACGTGCCTACAGCTACATACTCAACGCAGAGATACTGGCCCCGGGAGGTGACAGAGTGAGCACTTTGAATTGATACATTGGGATTTGGGTGGTTGATGAAATAAAATTTATCACAAAAGATACTATCATGTACTTTGCTAACATGACTCTTAGAATATTTAAAACTATACATTGTAGCCAGGCGGTGGTGGTACACGCCTTTAATCCCAGCACTTGTGAGGCAGAGGCAGGCGGATCTCTGTGAGTTCGAGGCTAGCCTGGTCTACAAGAGCTAGTCCCAGGACAGGCACCAATAACTACAGAGAAAACCTGTCTCGAAAAACAAACAACAACAACAAAAAAAACCCTACACATTGTTTCTAGTGGCTGGCATCAGCTCAAAGCAACATCAACAAATGCTACCTATCTCTATGCGCTGATCACAGTGCTATTTCTCCAGTACCTACCAGGCTCCCACCAGGATCTAGCCCTGCTCGTGGCCCCTGCTGAGGAGTCAGGTGACAGAGACTACCATAGGTGTTGGGGACATATCAGGCAGATACGGAGACAACTTACCTGTGGCTCCTGCAAAGACATCACCTTGGGCTGGGCTCTCAGAGATGACGGCAGTGGCCTCTACAGTGGACGCTCGGTCAAAGGTTAGTGCTCCAGAGGTAGTGATCTGTCCTGAGGGTGTCACAGTGACTGGAAAAGGAAAACGGCATTTTACTCACGGCCAGGCCAGGCACTGGGCCTAAAGCATGCACTGCTCTTTGCAAAGATGCAGGCTTCAGAGAGGTCCCAGGAGCTAGCCAAAGCAGACACAGTGACATACCCCACACATGGTATGACATCAGGAAGCCATGGCCTTGGCACCTAGGGGACAGAGCCAAACATGGCAGGACTCAGGCCTCTATTCACATTGCCGGGTCTGAGTGTAAATTAACTTTAAAATACTTTGCAGTTGGAGTCAGACTGTCTCAGAGACAGGAACCCCTCCGCTGAGCCAAGGCAGGAGAGCAGGATCACATCTCAGCAAAGCAGTGCTCTGCTGTGCTGGCACTCACAGGTGGTGGCTGCCGTGGCCGGGAGCAGCGTGATGTTCTTGGGGGAATCCTTCTTAACTGGAGTGGTGGGCAGCTCATTCTCTTTCTTGCGTCTTTTGTAAGGGACGAAGAGCCTGACTGGGCCACTCTAGGGAGAAAAGTAAAGCTGACAGTACTCGAGGGTGACAGTGTCTGCTTCCCACGCCTTATCAGACTAGTGAGCCTATTAGCACTGCAGAGAGTAGACGCCCTCCAGAGCCCTCCAAATGGCAGAGACGTTTTCAGAAGAACCCTATGAACAGCACTGCTGCCAAGAAGAACACAACCTCAACATCTGGAACTCGGATTCTTAGAAGAAAGGAAGTGGAATCAAGTAAAGGAGAACAAGGGAAACCACAGCCTGAAATAAAAATCCTCACTCAGAGCCATCTGCAGACACATCAGAGAAGCACTGGGGGGTTAGCACAGCACAGGCCTACAATCTCAGCAACCAAGAGGCAGAGGCAAGGTGACGGCCATGAGTTCAAGTCCAGCCTGGGTTACAGCGGGAGACCTTATGACCCAAAAAGCTCAGGGCCAGGAGTCGTGGCACATGCCATTAATCCCAGCACTCAGGAGGCAGAGGCAGGTAGATCTGTGAGCTCAAGGCCAGCCTTATCTATATAGTGAGTTCCATGACGTCCAGAGTCTCACAGTGAGACTATGTCCCCCAAATAAATAAATAAACAAATAAATAAAAAATAAATGCTGGGCAGTGGTGGCACATGTCTTAATCCCAGTACTTGGGAAGCAGAAGCAGGTGGATCTCTATGAGCTCAAGGCCAGCCTACAACAACAAGGTCTACAGAGAGTTCCATGACAGCCAATGCTACACAGAGAAGCCCTGACTCAAAAACCCAAAAATAAAATAAAATAAAAATAAACGAGAAGCTCAGCAATGGATGACAGAACTTACCACCAAACCTACCAAAACTGAAAATCCGAGTTTAATCCCTGATCCCTCTCACATCAAACATTAACCTAGAAAATTCCCTACAGACATGCCCACAAGATAATCTGACCAAGGTAATTCCTCAAATGAGATTCACTCTTCTAGGTTTGTTAACAAAAATTACCCTACACCTGGTGAACGCTGCCATCACAGGTATGTGCAATTTATCTTACTGGTTTTTCGAGACAGGATTTCTCTGTGAAACAGTACTGGCTGCCCCAGAACTTGCTTTGTAGACCAGGCTGGCCCCAAACTCACAGAGATCCGCCTGCCTCTCCCTCCCAAGTCTGGGATTAAAGGCATGTGCCACCACCACCTGGATGTGTGTGTAATTTATACTGTGTAAGGGACTGAATCCAGAGGCTTTGTGTGTGCGGGGCGAATGCTCTACTAACTGAGCTACAGCCCAGCCCCTCCCTCCTTCTTTGTGTGGCTCTCTGACTTCTGCACCTGCACCTCTCCTGGCTCCAGCTGCTGTTTGCTGTTGTGCTGTGTGGTCTGTCTCTTGCTCATCTCCAGGTCTTTGTTTAGTTGAGAACCAGACCTTCCAGGCGACACACTGTGGCAGCAAAAGGTACTGACACCCACCATCCCTGGCCTTTCTGTTCTCCTGTTTGTGGGAGACCATGTTGTCTGGCTGGTGTCTCCTGTGGGATGTAGTGGTCTCTGAGAGCCCAGCCTGAGTGTGCAGTTGCCTCAGATAAAAGTAGGCCTCTGGCTGGTTCTGTTGGCTTCTCTGCTAAGCTGGTGCCTACTGGTAGAGCTACAGTGGGGCTCCAGAGTATGTAAATTGCCATTCATTATCTGAGCAGGTTAATCTACAGCTCTTTGAAGGCAAACCTCTGCAGCCTGCTTTTAATAGGAGCAGGCTTTTCTTGGCTGCCGATTTTCTTGATTCTCTCTGGCTGAGGCAAGGCGGCATCTGCTCTGAAGTAGCTATTAGTCTTCCCACTGTTCCTGGAATATTCTTGGTCTTGGACATCCCTATAGTCTCTAAAACAGTCAGTTCTTTAGAGGAATCGTAGTTCACTCTATCAGAATAGCAGCCCTGCTCTGTGAACAGGGGTTAAGGCAGGACCCATCACAGCTTGGAAACTAGGCCTAGAAAGAAGCTCAGCTGAAGATACCAAGCAACAGGCTCAGCCAGACTGATACAGAAGGGCTGAGGTAAGGGGTTTCACCCTAGCACTGGTTGGGAAGGCACTGTAACATAACCCACAGCAGTTAGGTGAGCGAGGCTATAGCCTAATCCTTCAATGACGTAACCTGTCCCTGGATAGGGAGCTCAGAGAAGGAGCAATCTCGAGGGGAGCCTTTTTCATCCTGAGCTGAGGAGGATGCCTGGCCCTGCCTCTTGCAGTTATTCTTTGCTTTGCACTTGGTGCTCATCTAGGTGTTTACTGACCTCCGGGGTCACCAGAGACAATCTCCAGAGATGCCAAGTAGTTGTCGTCCAGTTCACCACTCCCTCCTTTGGGGGACAGACTAGGGAGCATCTCACAGCCCCTAGTGCAGTGGTCCTCAACCTTCCTAATGCTGCAACCCTCTAACACAGTTCCTCATGAACTGGCTGCTCTTCCAAAGGTCCTGAGTTCAATTCCCAACAACCACATGGTTTACAACCATCATGTAATGAGATCTAGTGCCCTCTCCCGGTGTGCAGGCAGAATACTGAATACCTAGTAAATAAATAAATCTTTAAAAAAATTTTTCATTGCTACTTCATGACTATAACTTTCTCATAACAGTGTTATGAGTCATAATCTGATATGTAGGATACCTGGTATGAGATCCTTGTGAAAATACCGACACCCCTCAAAAGGGGCTGTGATCCACAGGTTGAGAACCACTGCCCTAGTAACAGCCAAAGCTTTACCTCTGACAGAGCCCAGCCTGCTGCGAGGTATTTAAAGATTGCAGCTGGGTTCCATGCCTTAGAAACTCTGGGCCCAGCCCCATGTCACAGGGATAGTCCACGGGCTTCCTTCTAAAACGTCATGGCTTTTGCTCTCATGTTTACATCTTTGTTACAATCTGACTTCACTTTTATCCACAGTGGAGTTTGGGTCAAAGCTCATTCCTTGCCCAGGAATAGCCAACGGTTTGGCACCACATGTTGGAAGCTTGTGGCGGCAGCTGGACTCTGGTCAGTTCCCTAGAGGTCCCAGGTCCTGCTGACACACTGATGATTACCATAGCACACAGAGCTCTCACAAGCCCATGGGTGGCCTTGGCGATTTCAGATTTGTGTCCTGGAGCTCTTGAAAGACTAACCCCTCATGCCGCAGTGTGACTCCACAGGCCTATCTTAGGTGTATAAGATCAAGACACATTGTATAAATGTAGCTAACTGTCAAAGAATTTTTTGGGGGGGTGGTTTTGAGATAGGCCTGTCAAAGAATATTCTAAAAATATTCTTAAAATATTCTCTCTTAGGAGCTGGGCAGATGCTGCCCTTGCAGAGAACTTCTGTTTGATCCCAGCACCCACACGGTGGCTCACAACCATCTACAGTTAAAGTTCAACAGGATCCAAAGCCCTCTTCTGCTCATATACATACAAATAAAATAAATAAATATTTTTAAAATTTTCTAACTTTTTGGGGGAGGATCTCACTAAGTAGTCTTGGCTGGCCTGGAACTTGTTACGTAACCCAGGCTGGTTTCCAACTGTAGCAATTCACCCAACTCTGTCTCCTGAGTGTTGGTGTTCCAGTCATGTGCCACCATGCCTAGTTTAGATTTTCACTTCTGTCACCTAGTAACTTACCAGACTAGAAATGAAACGAAAGTCAGAAAATCCTAGTTAGGCAGCTTCTACATTATGATTAAGACATTTAAAAGCAATTTGTATTATTAAGGGAAGAGGAAACAAAAATAGTACGTTCATGTTAGTATTTCACTTTTGAATCCGTTAAGAATTTATGTCGGGCGTAGTGGAGTACATCTTTAATACCTGCACTCAGGAAGCAAAGGCAGGCTGATCTCTGTGAGCTCAAGGTTAGCCTGGTCTACAGAGTGAGTTCCGGGACAGCCAAAGATACACAGAAAAACCTTGTCTCAAAAAAACCAAAAAATAAAAAAAGAATTTAGAATAAGGAGCTATTTCAAGGACCTTAAAAGATCTATCCATGGTAAGGTAGAGGGTTTTGTTTCCTGTTTGCAAGGATGTTAAAAGATTTCCCATGGGGGCTGGAGAGATGGCTCAGAGGTTAAGAGCACTGACTGCTCTTCCAGAGGTCCTGAGTTCAATTCCCAGCAACCACATGGTGGCTCACAGCCATCTATAATGAGATCTAGTGCCCTCATGCAAGCATACATGGAAGGATTGTTGTATACATAATAAATAAACAAATCTTAAAAAAAAAAGATTTTCCATTTCGGTGTCCCTACAGCTACCTTCTACCCAGCAAAAGCAGCAGCCATCAGAGAGAAAAGAACCTGGGAAACGGAAGGACAGCGCTTCCACAGAGGAGACACACAACACCTCGTGACTTACTAGAGTCATGTCATCACAACAGGCAGCACAGGTACAGGAGGCAGCGTG